TTGCTATGGAGTCGATTGCAACTCACAGTGATCCTATAGGACAGAGTCGAACTGCCCCATAGGGTTTCCAAGGAGCAGCTGGTGGATTCTAACTGCTAACTTTCGGTTAGCAGTCAAACGCTTAACCAGGGCTCCAAGATACACAAAAAGAGGTAAAATTTGTGTAAGTGATCAAACCAGTACAAAATAATAAATTGGAAGTTAAGTGTGAAGAGCTGTGTGAAAGGAAGTATTAAAGTGAACAATATCTTTCTTTTACAGGACGGGCAGATTACCTGTTTTGTGGAATCTTGTCAGCCAGCAGATTGCCCCACTCCCGTGAAAATCAAAGGAGCATGTTGTCCAGTCTGCTTAAAAAAAACCATGGGAAAGAAGACTTAGGTTCTTTTAAAAATTCCTAGGAGTTTCTCTGCTAAGTCATCTTGAGATCAGATGGCCAATACAGGTAACTGCAGACTGAAAGAAACATCAAGAACTCATGACATTTCACGACAACATTCAACTGGTGCTGTTACAGAATATAAGCGCAGGATGCTTTTTACAGAGTGTTCACAAGGAAGGAAATAATAGTGCAGATATCGGGGAAAGGAAGTAGATAAATGTCCTAACTTCATGTTAGATTTCTCAGGTTTTTATTTAATATTTTTTTTAATAAAAAAAAATTGGTGCTACTATTAAATTGCATAGTTAAATCATTTAGGTTCCTAAATTGATTTCCACTGATAACACCATTTCTTTTTAAAGAAAGCAGGATACCTCTGAAAGTTAGTTGATACCAGAAGCTTACAAATGTGCTCCCCGCAGATGTGTGTGAATAATGGAGCCTCCAGAGAAGGAAGCACGCAGAAATCTGGGTTACATTTCAAGCCACATTCGAAAAGAAAGTCCGTATTTGGCAAACTGAACAGAATCTTTTTTTATGAGTGTTCACGGTGAAACAGAGTGAAATATAGATTCCTGTCTCCCTGCAAAGCAACACTTGATGCTATTGCTTCTTCCCAGTTCTCTGTGTAACATTTCACAGCTCCTCAGCCTTTATCATAAAACAAACATCCCTTTGCTCACAGCATATGTAAAGCCCATGACTCTTTGGTTCAGCTCCTTTCACACGTGATTGTAACGATTATGAAGCCACGTTTAGAGAACAGGTCTGTTTTTATTTATAACTTGCATACATATTGCCTAGTTGTGAACAGAATGTGAAACTCCCCTTTAAAGCCATTTTGTGTATCTGCGGATACCTACTGAATGACTGTGTGCGTTGCCAAAACCAGCCCGCAGACAGCTGTTGCCGTGTTCATACCTGCAAGGCTCTGTTCCTAACCAATGATACGGAAGAATAACTCTTAGGTTGTTCTTCTGCTGGAAGGAATTTGATCGTTGGGAACTTTCTAACTTCAGGTTGTGTGAATGCTTTACAAAAAAATTAAATAATCCCTATACCTCATTTGTATTTTTAAAATGCATTGTTTTATGAAATTTTGCCCATTTTGTAGGTGTTAGAAAATGGCAGAAAAATCATTTCCACTGTGCAAAAGTTCTTTTAGAAATCCTTGAAAAGCAACTGTCGTACCTCATGGTCTCTCTTTTTAATTGACCAAAAACTCTATTTTTTTTCTAACTACAAAGTGATATATGTTCTAAGAAACATTTTGTTGAACATACAAGTGCAGTTCAGTAAATTTATTTGAGTGCCCACTATGTGCCAGGTGCTTTGCTGGGTACAGAAAATACAAATGTGGATGAAGCCGTCACTGTGCTCATGCAATTCCCAGTCCAGGTCGAGGAGGAAGGCGCAGGAGTAGCCAGATGATATCAGTATGAGGCAGAAGTTGGTGTACGGCTTGTATACAGCAACGGTGAAGGCAGCGGGGCTTAGGATGGGAGGTGTGGGATAGAGGCAAGGAAGGAAGCCTTCCTGGAGATTGATTATTTTTCTGTGAAATTTTACATACATAATTTTGGAAAGAAGCCCGGAACGTGTGGCATGATTTTGAGACAATTATCAGGGGGTGAGGATGGAGGAAGTCCCTTAGCAATGTCCGGCACATAATGGAAGATACAATCTGGTATCACTTGCGTTTAATACGTAGTCTGGTGTAAGCGTCCTTCCAAGAGACAACCAAATGCCTTTGTGCACTGTGACTGTACCACATCTGCCAGAAATATATTTAACATTCCAGTTGTAAGAGTATATACAGTGTATGTACATTGTTTTATGTATAAAAACAGTTAGCTTAACATCGTGTCCTCGTAGTATTACACAATACATAAAATCTGGGTGGTGTTTCACAGGGCACAGGACTTGTTTTGAAATAATAAAGTCAAATTCAGTAATCAAATTTTGGAACAGACTTCTGTACAGTAGGAAATATGTAACTTTTTCTAAAAATTGGATGGTTATGTAAGTTGCTCAGGTATAAAAATGACAGCGGATTATATATTAGTCTTCTGGGAATGCTTAGATGTTTAACTCTGTGACTTGGAGGTGAATTTGTAGCTCCATTGCTGAGGCAGTGTGTAAGTGGTTCAAAGATGTGGAAGGAACTGGGGCTTGGGCAGATGTCAAAATGATTGTTCTCAGTGAACGGAGGGCGGGGGAGGAGCTGTCTGTGATTTACAATAAAATTCTGTAATCCCAATTGAAATGTCTGCAGAATCACCAATGTCATTTTATAGATATTATGAAAACAATGGGCAGTGCCTGAATGAACTTTTTTTTTAGTAGCCACTGTAAGGAGATTGCTGTAATATGAAGCAAAGTGTACATATTTATTTACTTTTCTAACTATTGCCAACAGCCAAATGCCTTTTTAATGTTCATTGTAATCAGTACATTACCAAAGAAGTGTTTGCACTGTGTAATGCCGCCTTTCAGTTAAAATAAATGGGCCACATTTTCAAACGAGAATGCCTTTTTTTCCCCCCTCAAACCTATAATCCCTTTTTCACCGTGTGAGATCAGAAACATGATTAGGAAAAGAGGGTAGCTCCTGGAGAGAAACACAGGACAGCTGCAGTGGTCACTCATTCTTTTCTGTGAAAATGTGAGGGAAAATAGAAAGGGAATTAGTTAAATGGACTCTTAAGCAGCTAGGACTGCCTTAGCTGGACTGACAGGACCCGCCTTTGTTGTCTTTTCTTTCTTTCTCTTCCTTCCACCT